TCCCAATATAATTTTGAGAAAAATTATACTTGATAAATAAGAGAATGTTCTATTTTGTAGGTCCTCGCTATCCCTAGTGCATTTCTTTTTTTGATTGATCTGCCATCTTTTTCTTTTATTAATGACGGAATCACCACGTGTACAATCATTAACTGAGGTTAGGACATGGCTTGTTATCTAAAATAAAAACAAAAGAATAAATAAAAAAAATAAATGCATTGAACCTGATGAGGAGTCAATATACAACCTGTACAATCATTAAGTGAGGTTGGGACATGGCTTGTTATCTAAAATAAAAACAAAAGTATAAATAAAAAATAGAGTCAATATAAGGTTAACCTCTCTAGAAATAGTGGGAATATCATCCATCATAAGCTAAAAATAGATATGATCATAAAAAATGAACAAATAAATTACTTCTTCTGATTTCAGGAATTCAAATAAAATGATAATCTCTAAAAATTGGTATCTGGCACTCCGATTTCAGTCAAGGAAAATGATAGTCTCATAAAAAATCAACAAATAAATTACTTCTTCTGATTTCAGAATTTGGTATGAACATCTGTTTATAAAAAAATTAACAAATAAAAAATAAATACGTACCGATGACATGACGTAACGATGACATGACGTAGCGATGACATGACGTAGCGATGACATGACGTCACGATAACGTAGTGAGGACATCGGAAAATTATAATATAGATTATATGCTTTCTAATATTGTGAGCTTGGACCTGACATGACATCTATCGTAAAAAAATGAATAAAAATCTCATTCCCCGTCATTTTTGACGGGCTTTCTACTAGTAATAATAATATTGTGATTGAACTATAATAAATAAAATAATTATATATAAATAAGTACAATTTAAACGTGATAATCAAGCGCCTAAATAATATTACACACATGAAAATGATAAAATATGAATAATTGATGATTTATTATTGGATAAATATAAAACAGGATAGAAAGATATTTACAAACTAGATCTGTTTTTTGAATAAATATAAAATATTTATTTTAAAAATATAAAAATAATCAATTACAAATTTTTTTAAAAAATTTGGGGAGCAGGATTGATGGCCAAAGATATATTCTGGGGGCCAGGTTTGAAGGTCAAAATATTTAGCGGAGGAAGGCTACCCCCTTGGCTACTGCCCTTGTAAATACAAAAACATATACATATAACAGGTAGGTATTTAATTGTTTTCTTTAATCTATTTTTTTACGAAAATAAATAAACACACATTTTTATAAAAACAAAAATAACTATCATTAAAAATTAATAAATTGGATAAAAGAGTGAACATTACAAATGTAAATAGCAAAACAAAAAAATAATTTTTAACCCACATTTTCATTCAATTGCAAACATCAAAAAATATCTAAATATCTTCATTTTCATTCAAGTATCCAAATTTTCGTTCAAGTATCCAAATTCTCATTAAGTATATTATATTAACCAGTAAACGCATATTCAAGTAAATTATTTTACTTTTCCCTTCTTTAATATCATACACATTTATTTTTTCTCAAATTAGTAGCTTAAATATATATAAATTTAAATTGGATAAAAGAGTGAACATTGCAAATGTCGATAGAAAAGCCTAAAAAATATCTTCTAACCCATTCATTATTCAAAAAACACCAAAAAAATATCTTCTAATTCACATTTTTATATTCAAATGTCCACATATTCAAGTATATAATATCAGTCAATCTATATTCAAGTAGAATTATATTACTTTTTTCTTTATTAATCGTGCATATTTTTTTTTCTCTAATCATTTTTATATAAAAAGCATTTGAAATTTGCCATTTCATCGCGCCTAACATTATTTTCTTTTGTATTAAACAGTAAAAAAAAAAATTTAATAAAAAACTATACATTCAGCATTTATTTCATATCGAAAGAACAAAGTATGATATTTTTATAATTTAATTAAATTTATAATTCTTAAGGATCTACCTTTTTTAAAGCCAACCATTTTGTCGGGCAAGGCAATATGCCTTTTATCCCTAATGATTATTTATATAACTCGCAAAAAAATATACATAGTACATTATTTTTAATATTTAAAAAAAATTATATATATCTATTTTTAAGGATCCTACCTTTATAAAACTTGCCATTTTGTCGCATCTACCATTAATACCTTTTATTCCTACTGCTTATTTTGTATTACTCAGTATAAAGAACGAGACTTGTATCGCTAATTTATATGACAAATATATAATATATTTTAATTATTTAAATAAGATTTTATATATATAGGGGTGTATCACTATTCGCTGTAATAATTTGAAGTGTATTTTACATCACCTCAAGGATTATTTATTTTAAAGTTTTCCAATTCGTCTCTCAAAAAAATATTTCTTTTTATTCATTCTAATTTGTTAAATTCACAAAAATCTTATGCTACGTTATTTTATTATAATCAGATCGAGATAACAATACATAGTATCATATTTTAATAATTTAAATTAAATTATATATTCTGAATCCTACCTTTTTAAATTAATCATTTTGTCTCTCTTAATATTATTCTTCATTCCTGCTTATCAGCCAATACCTATATAATATCTTTATTTATAATCTGATATCTCATGATTTGTGACCTATCTTAGTCAACAATATTTATGATAAATGAAAATTTATGACTCCGCGCCATATTCCCAGGCTATACTCCCACCTGTCGAAGGCCGGTCAGTACTGTGTAATATAATAAATACATATAATTTTATCCAAACCTGTAAAATAATATGATAGTTATTTTAATACAATAATTAATATAAATATATATAAGAAATTATATAATTGAATTATTTAACTTCCATAATAGTAAAGTTGATATTCTAAAAAGTTATAAAAGTAAATAAAATGTTAATTCAAAATATAAAGGTAAGAAAAAATAGACCCAAACAGAAATGATGAAAGAATCCACGGAAAAAAAGGATAAAAGTGAATATAAATTTTTTTAGACATAAATATAAATGAAGTATATGTATTTATAAATTTTTTCAAGATAATGAAAAAGGTGCAAGATGCTTTTAAAAATGTGGTATCTTTCAGATATAAATATCTAATTAATGATGTTAAAGAATATAGAAAACGAGATACAAAAGTACTGTACTATAAAATTTAGATGCAAGTAATTGTGGTACTGCTGAACTAGAGACCTTCATTGGCCTTAATCTTTAAACCAAGCCCGGCCCATATCTAATGTTAAAAAAAATTCCCAAACCCGGCCCAAGCCCAAATGTAAAAATTTAATTTTTTTTTATTTAATGAAAATAAACATTATTTAAATATATTTAGGCAAGCATTTTGTTTACAATACTGAAATTTATTATTATTAGAAGAAAAAATGGCAATATTTCTTTAAATTAGCAACTGTTTTAAATAATATAAATTAAAATTTAATAATTTTAGGCCCAAGCCCACCCCAAGCCCATTAAATTTTTTTTAAAATCTAGGTCCGGCCCAGGCCGCTAGCTGGCCCGGCCCATGAAGGTCTCTGTGTTGCCTGACTATCATTATATCATATTTTATTTAATTTGCAGCAGAACCCTGTTAATTCCATTTTTTCGGCTTAAGTCTAATTAATATTTATTTTCCCTTAATATTTTAAGATTTTAATCACGAGTCCAATTTTTTCTTATTAGACCGAGGCTGTTCAAAATTTTATTTTTAAAATAAATATAAACTCATTTTTATGAAGATAAATAGAACAAAAAGCACTTATTGTCATTCCTTTCGATAATACAAAAGTAATATGCTTGGATTTTTAAAATTCATAGAGTGCTCTACAAATGAACCTCACCTATTTTGTTATTCAAACCACCTTATAGAGGTCCTTAAACTATTTAATTTCCTTCTGTATAGCAAAGAAAAATGCCATTTTCATATTATATTAATATTTATAGAATAATTTAGATATTTTATATTTTAAAATATAACTATAGAATTAAATATTGCCAAATATGTAAAAAAATTATAAATTTTATATTTTTCTTATTTAATTAAAATGAAGAGTTTCAATTTCTTACCAAGCCCCAAATTTTACAACTTCTATAATCAAAACAGAGCATTTACCATTTTTATAATTATAGAGTAAAAATAATGATAGTGTGAATTTCTAACCAGACCCAACTTTTTTCTAATATAAAAGATTTTTAACTAGGGTTAAAAAATATATATATTTTTATCATATTTTATATCTTCCTTGTGGATTAAATAGAATCAAAGTGCAAATTTCTTACTAGACCCAAAGGTCTTAGAACTTTCTGAGGATCACGTAAATATATGCTCAGTGTGTACCGAGTATTTTAAAAGATCCTTAGCTCTATATCTAAATATGACAAGCACAAGAGTTTCGGAAAAAATAGGGATTAATGTGATTTTAGGTATGTTCCAATTGTAACTTCTAACTAATATTCAGCTCTAACCATAAATTGATGGAAAGGAAGTGACCACCGTATAACATATGCAAAATCCCAAGCTAAGCGATTCCGTAACCTCACTCCAAGCATATAAAACAAAGTGAGAAAATGGAAAAGAGAAATATTTAAAAATAGTTGTTATATTATATAATAAATTTATATTACTGTTTATCAAAATAGTTTAAAAAATTAAATAATTCTTGGCTACGGCCCCCTTACGTGATAAAGTACCGAAATGAAAATGAACGATAACGCTATATTATACTAAGATTGATTGCTCATCATTTATTATATTATTTGATTAATTTGATATTCACAAGGAAAATATAATAAATAATAATTTAAAATTTAATAAAAATTTAATAATATATAAAAAATATATATTATTCAAATTTTTATAAATATTCTATATAATTCATAATTTTCCATTACTCATTTGAATGCTCTTTCATAAAAAATTGGGCAAACAAAATATGTGAAATTCATCTAATTCATCATAAAACATATGTCCAAATATTGCGAATCTACAGTTTTATTAAATATTTAGAAAGACTTGCACCTTAATTTTGAAGGATATTATATTATGAAATTTTCTTTCATTTAAATTAATCTGGGAAAATTTAATTCTTACATAAATATGACATCTAAAAATATCATATTTATTATTTTAATTTTTCATTATCCATATATTCGTTCCTTAATCAAACGTAAGATCATTTATATATACTTATAATAACTAAATACAGAAAATCAATGTAAAATTAATGAATTCAAATGTGCCAATGGAAAATGTATTGAAAAAATATGGATGTGTAATGGTATAAATGATTGTGAAGATAATTCAGATGAAGAATATAATATTTGCCGTACTAATTTAGTCTTACTTTTAGTAATAATTAATAATTTTTAGCTAAATCATGCAATTCTCAACAATTTGCTTGCCAATCTGCCAAAAATGTATGCATACCTCTTTCAAAAAAATGTGATGATAGAGTTGATTGCTCTGATGGTTCAGATGAAAAAGACTGTGGTAAATTTGCTATTTACAATTTTTTTTTCAAATTAAGGGTACACCTAAATTTCATTAATTAAGGTTATAAAAAACAAATTAATAAGCTTACAATAATGTTATTACTGAAAGTCAAAACTTAGATACCGGCATATTACATTTAAAAATATTTCAATTTTATCAGCCTCATTTATATAAATAATTCTTTTATTAAACATGTAAGCACGACCCTGTAATGCTACAGAATTTGCCTGTTTAAATGGGAGATGTATATCATTAAAATGGAAATGTGATCGTGATAATGATTGTGGTGATAATTCTGATGAAGCAAATTGCTCTTTTCCATTAAATTGTTCAAAACATGAGTTTATGTGTGCAAATACTCTTTGTATTCCTTCAAGGTAAGTGATACAAATATTAAATTTTTATAGGAAGAACTTTAACTGTTCCATAAAACCAAATTCATTATTTTTAACATACCTTAATTTATATTTTATAATAAATATCCTATTTTCAGATAATATAACATTTTTCCAAAAAAATATCATTGAGATAAATGACATAATTTATTTCTTATGTTTAATTTTTTTAAACCAATTATTTATCCATATTTATTGTTTCTCTATTAAATGAGAAGAAAAATGGTAATTTATTCTTTAAAATGCATTTTTTTTATCTTTTATTTTGAAAGGGTAAAAAAACTTAAATTTATCATGATATATAAAAGTAAAAAATAAATAATTATCTTTATCTAATAATTTTAGATGTTTCAAATAAATATTTAGAAAATAAAATATGAATAATGATTTTTTAAAATTCCTACAAAATTAATCATTCTTTAAATTAATATTTATTTTAATATTTAAATTATATTTTTATGGTAAATATTATTATTCATATGGTTCAATAAAATCATGTGTAACAATTGTTTATTTATTTTTAGAATAATTAATGAGTTTTTTTTATTAACCATTTTCCACATGTGATGGGCAAAAATAAATTCATTGTTTATAAAATAGTATAAGAATAAAACGAGATGGTTATTTTTTATTTTGTAAAATAAGATTTTACACATTTCTGACATAACGTGTTGAGCATTGGCGTAAATCCATTAACCTTGATTACATTTTGGGTCAAAATTATTAAAAAAATTCATCGAAAATTAGGCACAATTTTTTGCACCCATTCATTCCCCAAAATGGATCCTCTAAATACGCCACGGAATTTAGGTTAGTTGAGGTAGGTAATGGCTAATAAAATCGGTTCTATGAGATACGTTATAAAACAGTTTAGCATTGAGACGCGAAGTGACTAAAGACTAAGTTTTTATCCTATTTTTTAGAATTCGCGAAAACGGGCAAAAACATCTGAAAAATGGAGCCAATTTTTACTCGTTAAGTGTACTATAATTTAACTAACAACCAGCGCTAAAAATTTATTTGATAAAAATGACAGCATTTTACCGTTAGGTGAAATTTTTGGAACTTTAAGAAATTCTAATAAAAATTTTGAAAATTTTACTAATATGTTTTGGCCATAATTTTTTATTTTATTTAAAAAAGAACTTATTTTATGCTTTTCGATAAAGTTTCGAAAGTTTTCGAATTAAATTTTTTGATGTTTTGGATAGTGAGTGCATTAGGAAAAAAATTTTGGAATTTTTGAGTTAGATATAATACCTTTTTAAAAATTGTACTTTTTACAACTTTTTTTTTTGTACGGACATGTCAGTAAAAAAATATGAATTTATTTATAATTTATTTTTTGAAAACACCATGGCAAAATAATTATGTTTGAATTTCAAACGCTGATTTTAAATAAATATCGATATCTAAAAATATTAATTTTTATTTTTTAGCCTTAGATTTAAAAAAAAAAAAAATTATAACTACCATTGAAATTCTCTAATTTGGAAAGATGATGTAAACATTTTTTTTTAGAAAAATGTTGACAAACTTGAAATTATTTTAATTACTACCAAAATGATTTCTGTAAATATGTTTCACTTCACTCTATCTAACATTTATCCATGTAAATTGAATAAGATAGTGTCCATTGAGCCAAATTAAAAAAAACACTTCTAGAGATTTTTGAAACCTTTAGAAGTAAAAAAAATGTTTTGTGTCACTGAAATGATAGCTACCCTTTAGCCTTAATAAACCATTAGGACTATCAACCGACTGGTTAACTAAATATCGTCTGTTATATCCATTTTTAAAAATAATTTTTTAGGAGAGCATTTAAAAAAAAAATCCTATGTTTTAGATAGGAGATCATTACACCATAATAATGCAAATAAAGTATTATTCTAAATTATATTTTAACATTTTTATTGGGGATATATGTGTTGCGAAAAGGATGCATTTTGTATAAAAGTCTATGATCAATTTATATGAGGAGTTGATTTACTAGATAGAGTTTGATCATTCTTAATAAACTCGACAGAAGAAAAAAACATGGCCCATATTTTCCTATTTTCGTAATTTAGTAATTGTAGTTTCACGAAGTATAATACGAGACCAAGGATATATGTTTATACCTGGTGGATATATATTTTACCTTCTTTTCAACTCATATAGTAATGCCATTGATCGGGAATGCAGAATAAATATTACCCACTAGACCTGTTATAAAATGAGTTGTACGCGAGTTCCAGATATTCATAAAGCTCGTTGCAAATGAAAGCAAGATAAATAAAACCTATATATATAAAATAAATTTTTGTAATTAATTTATATAAAGTGGTCACAATTATTTTACAAAAAATGATAATTTTACTTCCAAATGTTTTGATTTTTCCAACATTAAAAGAAATCATGGGATGTATTTTTTTTTGAATTTAAATATATAATTATGTTTAAAAAAATTCTAAATTTCAGGGTGGAAATAAATCTTTTTGATTTAAATCACGATATAAATGGCGATTTAAATCAGGTAATTGTGATTTAAAATTTTTTTTAAAAAAAATATTTAAACTAAACAGATTATCAAATTACTTACAAATCACTTGACATTTTACGACAAATACCTTTTGCATATTATTGAAAATTATTAAGTGACCTTTCCTAAACTAAATTAATTTTATTATCAATTTATTTGACTGTATATATATTTGTAATGTTAAGTACAACGAATAAGATTGTTTATGTGTTATCACCGGCAAAAAAAAATATTTTAGAATTGCCATAACTCGAGTTTCTAGACATTATTTAATATGAAAGGCGTAAACATGATTTTACTCAACTTTAACATTCAATGATTTTATGACAGAATTAGCATCTTCAACGATATTTCGCCAATCCTAGGATTTTTCTTAATAGAAACATTAACATATTTAATACCTATTGTTCCTTTACACGTCTTACCTCTAAATCGTTAAGAGTATATTATATTAAAATATTTCCTATATTCCTCATCTTAAACATGTTTTATACATTATCCATAACCACCACCATTGTAACCCATGCAATTAAATTTCTTTTTGTACTTTATTATGAAACCTAGTGTTGTTAAACGGCTAACTTGATATCTTATTAGGAAAAATATTATGCAAGTTTTAAGATTTTGCTCATACGTGCCATAAAGGTTTGATCATCTACTAATGAAATCTCGAGGCTTAGACAATATTTATCTGGCTAAAATATTGAGTTAGCCTTTTTTAAAAATCGACTCAAATCGAGCCGTTTAACAACACTAATGAAACCTATCTTTTAAAATAAAATTTGATGTTCTTATAAAAGTTGCCTGAGAATTAGATTATCCCATTTCCATTTTTTGTAATTTTACAGGAGAGCAATTTTAAAAATCAAGTTTATATTGTTTTCAATAGGATATTTAACCTTATATTGGCTATAATTTAACTTATTTTTTATATATTAAAATTTTTTTTTGTTTAAATATAATAGTATAATTATAAAAAATTGAATTATTTAAAAAAAGTCACCTTTGACAAAAATTGTGGATATAGAATAACCTAATTCTCAGGCAATGAAATGTTAAAAATTTACTTTTATGTACTTTATAAATTAAAAAATAGGAAATGTATTCCCTTTTAAATACGATATATATATTTATAGTAAATAAAGATATCACAATTAAAATCCAAAAGAAAACCGATTAAAATAAATCAAAAATATTTAAAAAAAATTAGAAAAATTTCAAAATTTTCGCAAATTTTAAAATTTTAATAAAATATGTTAAATTTTTGAAATTTATAAAATATTTTAGAATTACTTTTGGACATGTTTTTATTTTTATATTTAAAACGCTTATTTAGTTATTTTCATTTAAGTTTCGAAAGTTCGCTTATTTATTTTTTTTAAATTTATTTTAAGGCTACGAAAAAATGAAGAAAAAAATACGGCCAAAAAAACATATTTGTGAAATTTTCCAAACTTTATCAATAGATTGCTTTTCCTTAAAATTTTGAAACTTTTCAAAACACATTTTGGACGCAATCTAACACTATATCTTTATAATAAATAATCAAATACTGTTGCTCCATTCCAACCGTTCCTTTCTTTTTCTAAAAATCTCATTTAATGATCAGTTTGATTCAAATAACCTCTATTTATAATAGATATTTATCTTTACGTGCTTGTACTTTTTTAAAAAAAGAGGATAATTCGAACAATCATTTATCTTAAATGTCATCACCCGTTTAAAAACAAAATCATAAAATAAATATGTCTGGGAGCATGTCCTGACCAATACTGAGTATAATATAACCAGCTTCTAAATGTTCCGCTTTAGGTTATAACGGCTTACCGCCTTCGCTTTTATAATTTTAGGCCTACTAAGCGGACATGTAAGTGATCTGAAAAAAATATAATATGTTAGTTTTATTATTATGAAGAGTTTTCGAATTCCAATTCAACGACATGTTAGTGTAAGAGAATGTCGGACTGACCATCCAATGCATTAAAAAACTGGAACCAATTTAGCATTTTTTTATATCCTGATTCTGTCGTTATGTACTTTGATTTAGAAATTTTAATTCGGATCGGGCGACTCGAACTTCAACAATATTTAGAATTATTTATGTTTTTTTTAAAAAATATATAAATATTCTTTCCAATAATAACACTCAAAATCTTTCATTTTCCTTCGACGCTTATAATTTTTCCGCTTTCGACTTTTCTAACAGTCCACTATAAAAAAAATTCGGATCGGATCGGTAGACCAATTTCTATAAATAAAGTTTTGCCATTTTACTGCCCGTTTCGAGCCGGGCTTGCTAGTCTGATAAATGCCAATCAATACTTTTATTGTATCTGAATTGAGTATAAATTATTTTAAAATATTTTTTTGCATAATTTTTTTTTTCTGCTAAATGGAGCATAATTAATTTTTATTGAATGGTATTATAATAGTATAGAGGGCTTAACTTAATCATAAAGTATTCGCTTTCATAAGCTCTGTTTTGTTTTGCTGTTATTTTCCAAAAAAATCATTTCAATTGATATCGTATCCATATATTATATTGGTAATTTTAGCGAAATTCGCGTTTTTTTTAAAACTTTATTATTTAAAAATACCGCACCAATTTAAAATAACTGGGCGTTTTATAAAAAAAACAAGGCTACATACACACGTCTCCGCTCAATTTGTAATCACTATCATGCTCGCATATATTTCAAAATTTTGCATAATAAAAATATGCCAAAAGAAGGATCAATACGAGGCTAATCGATATGAATAAACATTTATCATTTTAATTTTAAATAAATAAAAGGAATTAGTATTATGAATTTTTTATTAAATTATCATAATTATATTTGGAAGAATGTTATTATTAGACGCGTAATCAAGGGGGGGCAAATTTGCCTGTTCTCGTAAATATCATTTTAAGCTAATAAAAATCCCCTCTTCCACCCCCTTTCCTCCAAAAATGTTTACAATATATAACCACTATAAGGAAGAATTTGAAAGAAAAATTAGTAAATGGATGATATGATCATAATAGTCAAACCTAAAATTATATTAATATCGCAATTTATGAGCCTTTGCGATGTTTGAAATTTCATTTATTAAGATATTGATTGTAATAATAATTTTTGTTTGAATTACTTGAGTTACCTAATCAAATTAATATGTAATTTTTTTTTAAAAAAATTAGCGCTTAAAAATATTAAAATTTTTCCATTTAATATTTAATATTTTTTTTGATAAATTTAAAATTCTTATTTGTTTTATATAAGTATATATGATAGGATATATTGTTTAATTTAAAAATTAGATATAAAAATTTGTATATTTATAATTTTAAATAAGTTATTAATTAAGCTAGAACCATAACTAACTCTAAAAAAGCTACCATTTTAATCAAAAAAATATTTATCTTTTTAGTTATATATCAATCGATATTTTATTTTTTTATTTAATTATCAGGCCCAGCTCGGATGAGACTTAATTTTTCCCGGGTTCGGGCTAGTTTCAATTTTTTTATTAAGGGCCCCAGCCCGTGTTTTCAAAATCCAAGCCCGGTCCAGTCCGATTTTTATAATATAAGACCTAACTCGAAATGTATGTAGTTGAACTCCAAATAAACATCTATTTATAATATTAGAGAGTGGTTAAATTAAAAACACTTACTTTATGAATTCTCACTTTTATCAGATATCAGAATTCATCAATAAACATGATCCATTACATAATATGTCATATTTATGTCAATGATGATTTTATCATGTTTTGAGATTAAATTAAAATTCAAGATTATGATCAAATAAAAATATGAGCAAATAACCTAATAATGTAGATTGTTTTATCAGATAACCAATAATCGACATTAAATTTTATGCAAAATAAAATAAATATATTTAAACAATATTAGACTATAATTATTTATTTTTCTATTGTCATGCCGACCAGATATCTACTCTTTGCTCGCCCGGCCCGGTGAGTTTTTTGTCCGACACGGCTCAAATAAATTTTTTTGAACGTTACTCGAGCCGGAAATTGCAGATCTCTACCTTCAAATCGAAAGAGCCAATAGTTAAAAAAATTGGGCGGCCTGGTGGTGGCCATTTTTTTGTAGATTTCCTTGAAAAGATTTTTTGGTCTGGCCCTTATTTATCTTTACCCGGCATGATTTTGTGATTGATGGCTGGCTCAGTCCATAATAGTTTTTTTAATAGAAAGGATAAAAGACGAACTTGCTCGAATTTTTCTAAGCTCTAAGAAAAAAATTTGCGAAATTTAAACTCGGCCCTTAAAAATATTTGGTGCAAGTTTTCCAACCTGACCCGAGTCTAATGTCAGTTTGCCCCACCCGAACCCGATACTATTACCTTCATCTTAAATTTGGTATTTATTCCTTCTATTAATTGTATTTTTTATAAAGAAATGTAAAAAATCAAAATCAAATATTATCAATAAATTTTAAACTTATCTTGTGATCAGGGACCAAGAACATAGGCATTTTATGCTTTTCTCTGATTTCGGCCAAAAAATTATGTTCCGTTCCACGTTAAACTTCTCGGAACGTTTCTGAACGGTTCTAAAAAATCTTTCATTTCTATTTTATTCACATAATGAAGATATTACATCTATACAAGTAATAATCATTTATATTTGTTGGGTGTTAATATAAATCTGAGTGTACCGTTCAACACAAACGCCGCATTTATGGTAGACGCGATTCTCTCAAGCGATGCGAAATTAATCGCTAACAAAATCACTGCATTAGTTCTCTCGATTTCATCAGTTCGCTTAGTATTTATAAATTATATCTAATATTTGCTCAATTGTGTAAATTACGTAGTGAAAAATTTCGCATGGCTTGTGCCAATTCGCGCTTACTATAAATGCAGCCTAACCCCTCTAAGCGTGAATTCGCGGCGATTTAGAGAATTTAGAACTAACTGCGAAAGAGGGGTTACCCTGCATTCACAGTTAATACGAATTAGCGGCGAAGTATAACAAAATATGCACTTTTGTATATTTTTATATACTTGGTCACGAATTTCGCGCTTTATGAATGCAGGGTAATAACTCGAATTTTATGAAACAGTTACAAATTATTTTGAATTTGACCTTAAAAAAAATGTTTTATATAATCTTAAAATGTAATCACATTGTAATAAATAAATATATGAATGAGTAAATATAATTTGTTGCTATGTAAAGCAATGGGAAAAGAGAAGAAACTAATATATTAATGAATGGGCCACTCAGTGATGCAAAATGGTTCCAATTTGAGCCGATTTTTAAAAACGGTTAATTCTGTATTTCAACACTTAAAATATTTTGCGAGCTTGAAGATTTTGGTCATAGATGGCACAAAGGTTTGGTTTGGACATCTATTAGCCAAATCGAAGCTTGGGCAACATTTTATTGGCTAAAATATTGAGTTGGCTGTTTTTAAAAATTTGCCCAAATGGAGCGATTTTGCATCTAGAGCCACTTATAAAATATCATATATTTATTATATTATTGTAAAATTAAAATTTATATTACTTTTCGGAGTTATTTTATGATTCATAATTTTTCCCAAGTTACGGTTACCGGAACGTTCCATTCCATGTCCCTGTCTCTAATCATGATTTGAGCGGGGGAGGGTGGTTAATGTTTAGGACAAATAATTTTTTTAAAAAAAAACTTCAGGCTATTTTGGATGTTTACCTTTTGGCATGAAGGTTGGGGAGTAGGGTTAGAAATAAATTTATAACAAAAAATAATCAGCTGTTTTTTGACGGCTCCAGAGTTTTTTTTTTATAAAAAATTTATTAAATTTTTTTAAAAATTGGTCATTAATTAGATGGCGATGCGATGGGGATATAGATTGCCACGACAATTCCGACGAGATAGGCTGCGGGAAGCTCATTTCCGCCACATCCCTACTCCACTCGCTCTACAAACCCTTCAACATGAACGCCTACAAATGCAACTCTCACGAGTACAGGTGCGATAATGGTCACTGCATCATGTCTTCTTGGAGATGCGACGGCGACACCGATTGTTTAGACGGGTCAGACGAAAAAAATTGTAAGAAAAAAAAGAATAAATGATGATAAAATCGGGCAAAAAGGGGGATTTAAAAATACTGAAATAATTTTTTTTAAATAAAATAAAGGTAAAATAAGGATACTAACAAGCTGTTCAGTATAAAGGAGATGATCACGTATGTTGAGATTTCAATTTACGTTAAAATCTCAAAATGTGGTCACCTCTTCATATTTCCCATTTTGATACAGTCTCCTTAAAGTGAACTCTATTAAACCGCTCTTAAATGGTTCTATTTTATGCTGAAAATTATTATATAGCTTTAGATAGTGTTTTTTTTTAAAAAACGTCCACAACAATATTTATTAAAAAATACACGAAAAAATTGGTTATATGTTATATAATATATTTATATAATCTTCTGAAATCACTACTTTCGAATCGGACATTTATTAAAATACAAATTGATTTCTATATATCGATATTTCTTTCATAAGATATTTTTTTTTGGTCAAAATTTTGTTTTTAATGATAAACAAAGACCATGAAAAGAAAAATGACATAATACCATGTACACATTTTTTTTGTGATGTACGGTTTTTATGATGATATATAAATCGATTAATCTTTTAGGCTGGGTTTTTGTTAGTTACTAACTATGGTCGTTTTCGGGAAGCGTCTGTGGCCTAGTCGGTAAGAGCGTGCATAACTAATCCAATAGTTTTAGAATCAAATCTAGCAAGAACCCATGTTTTTTTCTGTAGGCTAAGTGGGGAGGGTGGGGTGATATTTAGAATATCTGAGCCGACCGCATGATTTCATCTCTTAATATACAAAAAAATTGGTCGTTGCTTGGCAAATTAGGTTGTTTAGAAAAGATTGCAACTAATATTTAACGATATGAATCGATGTTCTAATTTAATCGTCAAGCTGTGGCCTAGCTATTATTAATTTGTTTCTTTCTAAATTCGGGATGGAATTCTTAATAACATTCTATTTATGAAAAGGTTTAGAAAGCGCTTTTCTCCTTGGGTTTTTGATGCGTCCTTCATTTTTATTAATTAAAATATAATTCTGAAAATTTTTATCTGTCTTTATGAATTTTAAGATATTTTTTTAAAGTTGTTACTTAGCCGTGCTGAGAATTTACTTTCTGGCGGAGTATTGAAGAATTGGATCGGTTCAGACCGCTACATAATAAAAAGGTTGTTGGCTACATAAGAAAATATAGTTATTTATCTGCCAAAATTTTCTGAAGTCGATTCTGATTAACCGTCACTCTAATACCACAATATTTGTCGGAAAAAAAATTTACTAAATCATTTAAATTTTTTTTTTTTAATAATGTTCTTAAAAGGTTCAGATATATCTTGTCATTCTTACGAGTTTAAATGCAAAAACCACAAGTGTATATTGGGAATATTGGAGTGCAATGGACTCGATGATTGCGGAGACAACTCTGACGAAATCAATTGTGGTAAAAAATACTTTTAATTTTATCTATGTTATGTCCAAAATATGAAAACGATCCACAAACTTTTGAAACTTTATTTACGATCTCATTAAATTTAAAACTTATCTAAAACTTTTAAAAGTTTTAGAACTTATTTTTCAAAATTATTCTTGGATATCGCCGGAAAAATATAATACAAATTTAACTTTTTTCTGACTATAAGTAGCCGATGAAATCGGCTTACAATCTAATGTATACTAGCTGTATATATTTTTTAAAAAGGTTATTTTTAAATAAACTTTAATATTACAGTTATTGGAATAGATTTTGTTCTGATTCAAATCCCATTTTAGGAGTGTTCAGGAGTACCGGTTCAAAACTCTTCCCTCTATCATGAATCGCACAAGATTTTGTGTAATTAGTACATGCAAATTAATTATAAGAGGTTCTAAAGTCGGTTACGGTTCCCGGAAGAGGGTTTGGTTTTGGTTCAGAGAGTTCGGGTTCCAAACTCTACCCTCTTTTGAGTAGTTAGTACATGCAAATTATTTATACGTTTATTGGAACGGGGTACTGAAAATTTTGAGAAGGGCATCTAGTTCCGTCTCCTAGATTTTACCGGGTTTTAGCTACAATTTCAAATTATGATCTATGTATATTAAATATAAAAGTTGCTTTTTTTAATATAAAATATTATAATAAAAAAATAAGAGGAAGCAGATAACTTGTAGTAACAGCCTATTAACGATTATTGTAGTTCAGCTAATAACAGAAGGATCACATATTTTGCTACTTATTATTTTTAAAAGAGTAGTTAGGTTATTTGTCGAAATGTCCTTATCCTCAATTGGTCACTAAACTAGACCACACTGAAAATCGTATATTTATAATACATTTTATTTAGATTGATGATTGTAAATACATTGAATTTTGCTATTGAAAGGCATTTAAACTAAATGTCTTTTAATGGCTAATTACAGCTGATTTCAATGTATGATAACATTTATCTCCAGTTTAGACTAAGGAATTGATGCCATTTTCCAAAATTTTTTTTTCAAGACAAAAAGCATAAAAAGTGCGATCCCAAGAAAGAGTTTGATTGTGGCGATACCTGTATACCCGAGTCGAAAGTGTGCAACGGTAATAATGATTGTGGACAATGGCAAGACGAACTTCACAATTGTGGTTAAAATTTTATTATAAACTTTGAAGGTGCAACGCATATATAATTTTTTTTAGAAGTCTATCCGAATGGATAATACCGGATATCAAAATTCGATTTTTAGTAATTTAACGATATGGATGGATAAAAAATAATCGATTTTGCTAAAAATATATTATTTATCCAGCATGATAAATTAAATATAAATTATATTAAGTTCAAAGGTTTTTGCTGAAATTCTTACTTAGGTATTCCAAACACGATAAAATACATTTTCGGTAAAATCAGATGTTTAAATTTAAAAAAAAACGCGCTCTAAAAATGATTATAAAGTTGATAAAATAACGCACTGCCGGAAAAAAACACTTTGCCACTAACACACACACATATATATCACGAATCTAATTCTACCATATAAAATTTAGGCGTTAACGAGTGCCTCAAGGCGAATGGTGGTTGTTCCCAAAAGTGTATCGATCTTAAAAAGGGATTTTACTGCGATTGCCAACATGGTTATTCTCTCTCGCCAGTCGATAACGTTACCTGCCTAGATACCAATGAATGCCTTCTTCCCGGAACTTGTTCCCAAATTTGCATGAATACGGAAGGGGGGTTCAAGTGCGAGTGTCATGCTAGTAAAATGATTATTTTTTTTAAAAATATTAATGTGATGTAAATTTGTAAAATATTTGCTTATTAATTATTATAATAAATTAATAAATATAAACAAAGCCTGAATATCTTAGTTCTTGTTTTTTTGATAGATAGCTCATTTACAAAATAAACGAAAATCCTTGTAGAAGTAGTTAACGTCAGTAAGCATTCTAAAAAATCGATTTGCGAGTCAACTCATTGCAAGTCTGAACCTTTTTTACGACTCCAACTTGAGTCATAAAAATTTGATTATTTAACAACATCAGATAGGAGATACCATTGAATTTATCCTTCATATTTATAAACAAATGTGAATAATTAAGATTACTCCTTGTACCCACTAGCCGACAACAGTACCTTTTGCAAAGCTAGCGGGGAATCGGCCAAGGTAATTTTTGCGAATAGGAGGGATATCCGGATGATTGACAGTGTCCCACTCACCATGTATTCGAAATACAAGCTTTTGGTGTCGGAGCTTCATAGCTCGGTGGCCATCGATTTTGACATAGTAACTCAACGAGTGTTTTGGTCCGACGTCTCCAGCGAGACTATTTACAGGTTCGCGTTTTAAATATAATTTAGTTCTCATTTGCTATTTTTGTGAAACAAAAAAAATGAAACAGTAGCCTGAGATCACCTAGGCCGGAAATTTTTGCTGTTAATGCACTTGAAGTCAATGATATTCAAATTTGTGCAAGTCAACTTAATTGATATACGATATTTGAAATCTAAATTTTTTTTTAAAGTTCTTGTAATATTTTATTAATGATTTTGCGATACTTTAGTATTCATTTATATATAATCATGAAATAAAATGTATTATCATTGTTGATTTCTAACTTGAACATTATATTTAAAGTACTCCCCTTGTCCCCGAAGAAATAGTGGGTTCCAATAAGATCGAAACAATAGTTGAAGGTAATATAAGCATGCCAGATGGGATAAGCGTGGATTGGATATACAGACTTATATATTGGACAGATACCGGCAAAAATACTATAGAAGTTGCCCGGTTAGCTGATCATACGAATTCTAATCAAAGTTTTACAGAAAAAGGATCGAAAGATAATCAAGTTATTAAAATTTATTGCGTTTCGTGGCTTTAAAAATTATAATAAAATAATTGATTGATTTGATTTATAAATATATTTAAAAATTTTTATTTCGAAATTTTTAAGAAAGAAAACAATTGAAATTTAATTTTATTTGGTTAATTTTTGCTATTTTTGAGGTTGTTTTCTTAAATAAATCGTGTATTTGCTATATTTGTTGAATAGTTTTAATTAAAATTTTTTTTTAATTTTAATAAATCCATCCGAAAATTATTTAATTAATTTATGATAGAAAAACATTTTTTCGGGAAATATATTAATTTAAGAGTAGATAGAACCAATTTAAATTTTAAAAATCACCCGTAGTAAATGATTTAATTGGAGAAATATATACACTGATTGTTTTCCAAATTTCATTAATAATATCCTAAGTCTGATTTTTTTTTGTTTTCTTTAAAGTTTGAATAAAAATAAATTTTTTAAAGTTTTTTTTTTACATTTCTTAGATTTACTAATTTTTAATATTTGTTATATTAGTAATATATATTTTTTTACTAATAAACTCAATTAGACAAACATATTCACTAAAATTTATAAAATAAGTCAAACAGCTCCCGAACCTTTGGAGGAGGTTCTGTAATCGCCAGAAAAATTTTGTTCGACTCAGACCTAGACGAGCCTAGAGCTATACTAATAGATCCCAGGCACCGTTATCTTTATTGGACTGACTGGGGCGCTAAACCTAAGATAGAAAAATGTGGAGCGAATGGTGTTGGGAGACGCACGATTGTTAGCCGTAACATCGTTTGGCCCAATGGGTTGGCTATAGGTTTTTACTTTAGAAAAAATTTTATAAATGCATTGTTTCACGTAATATTGGAGTTATAACTTTTTTAAAAGTAATATTTGAAAATTTCTTTGGGCTTAGTAGTAGACTTCATTACCTTAAATTTTTATGATAGATCCACGATCAAATTGTATAGGGTAAAAGGTTAAGAATATTTTTTCAGTTTTTGAGAAAGCTGAAATTAAATTACTATGATTATAGACTTTTTTTATAATATAATTTTGGAAATGTATGTTTAATATTTCCAAATGCTTTTTTAAAATATAAAATCACAAGACTTTGCAAACAATAGGCTATTTTGGGTAGACGCGAAATTAGATCAGATCGTTAGCTCAGATCTAGAGGGTCAAAATCGGTATATAGTTTTGGATTCAAAGCAAAATATCAGACACCCCTTCGCGATCACAGTTTTTGAAGTGAAATTAATATAAATTTTAATATTTTTTTCTTTTCCAAAATAGGATCGGACCAGGCCAGACCTAGGTTTCTCCCCAACCGGATCCCATTTTTTGATTTTTGGGCAGGTTTATATTCTTTATCAAAAAAAAACTGGCCTAACAAAAATTTGCATGATGGTAGCAGTTTCATTTCGAATCATGGCACCTTATTACCAAAAATTAGTATTCTTAAAAATTACTTTTGAAAGGTAACAAACTACAATACCATTTTTAAAAAGGTAATTAGCTACACATTTAGAAAAAAGGTAACTTATAGTTACTTCTTTCCCCATATGGTTTATTACTATACTTTAACAACACTACTAAATAATCGAGGTCCAATTTTTAAAAAATAAGCTCGGATTTAATTTTTTCCATTTTCAAGCTCACCTGTTTGGATTAATAATGTTTTTTTGCCCTAGCCCGATTCTTTCAACATAAGGCTCTATATTTAGTAGTGTTATTAAACGGTATTTGAGACGATTTAAACTACCAACTTAATATTAGAAAAATATTACGCAAACATTAAGATTTTGCTCGTAGGTGGCACAAAGATTTTGACATTTATTAGCCAAATCTCGAAGCATCGGCTCAAATTGAGCCGTTTAACAACACTATTATTTAGCGTAGATTGAATTTTTTATTCATCTTTGGTATGGATTAATAATTCATAAAAAGAAATAAAGATTTTTTTATATTCATATTATCGTAGGATTGGATGTACTGGACCGACTGGGAAAACGAAACACTTTTTTCTGCAAACAAATTTACCGGGGCCGATCTCAAACCTTTAGCTCGAGATCTATACTCTCCCATGGACGTGCGAGTGTACCATCCTCTTAGACAACCCGTATATAATTTAGACGGCACCCCAGTTATCAATGTGTGCGGTAGTTACCATTACAACGGGGGCTGTCAACATTTGTGTCTCCCCGGGCCAAGTTTGTATTTTATTTTTTTTCTGGGATATTGTGGGCTGCACATCAAACCAAGCCCTCGTATCTGACGCATTGAAATTGTCCTCAGGAGAGACAAAAACAAACAATTTCAAAAAAGTTTTTTATGAAAAATCAATTTCATGAAAATTTTAGATGAGGTTTGCACTGAAGACGACGGACGATTAGAGACAATGTGCGTAATCGCACACTGAAATTTATAGAGGAGATATTTTACTCATGCTGAAATATATTTTACGTAAGTTCAGATTTTTTCAAATTTAAAAAAAAACGCGCTTAAGAAGATTTGTTGAATGCGTTTTTAAATTTGAAGTTCTGATTTTTGCAAAAATTATATTCCAATATGTTTATAATACTTAACTATTCTATAAATTTTCGAAAATCTTTGTTCGATTAACTAGTTTTTTTAAAACTTTATACGCTTAAAAATTAAAAAGGATTAACCTAAATATTAATCAGGTAATGTAATACACATATAGCCTGATCACATGAAAAAGTTTGATATGTTTTTTAATGCAAAGATTTCTGCCACGGAGGGGTATGAGATTCAAGATAGTCATTATCATCATTTAAATATAGTTGGAGGGAGGAAGATAAAATTCATTGGCGTAGGGGTGGGAGAGTGGGAATCCCTGTTATCGCGTTAAAATATAATTTTATATATTATGCCTCCAAATCTAATATCAAATTTTTTTTACCATAAAATTATTTTAAACTCAAAAATTCAAGGTAGATTATGTTGCATCTAACATTTTTTTAAAAACTATTATGCATAATTTAGGCCATAACAAGTCGGTTAGTAATGGTTTATCGGCTCTTTACATTTGCGCCTGCTCAACAGGATGGACCGTAGATCCCAAAGATGCCGCCAAATGTATATTAAACGAAAACGGGCTCATTGCGAACTATAAAGCTTCCGAAAATGGAAAAGTTAGTTTGAATAATATGGTTGCGTTATTTTTAAAATGAATATATTAAAATAGTATTGTTTAATCTTGGAATTAATTTTATGGTCTTTGGGAATCGGTCTAAAATTAATTGCCTATATATCCAGCTTTTTAAAAATATTTATATTACGAATTATTCTGTATTTATGTGTTATCTAACTTAAGATTCAGGAGTCATCTACTTCTAAAAATTCACAAGATATTCGCCCACCATCTTCAAGCTTTGCCCAAGGATTTACCAAAATTTTCAACAATAATGATCTTCATAACGATAAATCCGATATATTTTCTCGAAATGGTGATATAATATAATTTTTTTTTACCTAAAGATTATGTACCAAAGTATCAGCCATCTTAATTTCGTCGCTTGGGAATTAGGTTATTGCATATCCACTTTTTATCAAAAATGACTTTTTTTACCTAAATAAATTTTTTTGTAATTTTACTTTTATTTACATAGAAAAATTCGAAATATTTAATAAATTAAATTATAGCCAATATAAGGTTAGCCATCCTATTGAAAACAATAGAAACTTAATTTTTAAAATTGCTCTCCTGTAAAATTATAGAAAGTGGAGATGGGATAATCTAATTTTCGGGCGACGATTTATCAAATTTATTTTATTCTGTCACATGATTTTTCCCGGTTACATATGGATTATAGCTAAAATACTATGAAAGTTGTAGCCTATAATTATTTTATTTTTTTTACAAATGCTACGTATAAATATTCACGAAGATGATTATAACCATTCCCACTACCGAGCCGTGAATAGTGCAGAATCTCAAAAATTTGGTTCGTTGCAACAAATCAAGGAAGGTACAACCGCTAAAAAATCGCGCAGAAAGTCGGGATTCGCAATATTTGCCGGAGTCTTTATTACCTTTTTAGTCACCTCATTGGTAAACCTTTGATTTAAAAAATGTTCGATACTATATTCCGTTTGGAACCTACATGCCTGTAACTACCAAAAAGGGCACTTATGGGCCAAAGACACACAAAATCTTTTGATCTCGAAAGAGTTGTTATTTTTGGTGTTTTATGTAAGTTTACACTCAAAAAGGTTTAGATATAAGTCTTTTCATACAAATTATTTGTATTTCACTACAAAAATTTGCACAAATAATACTAGCTGCTTATTCACGAATTCCATTTTAAAAATGACGTGCATAGTATTATTTGTGAGTACGAAAGGGATAACAGAAAGAATATGATCGAAATATGTAATATGCGAAAATTTCTAGTTGGGATAACTGAACTACAAACAGTTATGGTTTCTAAATACTTAAAAAAAAATGTTTTTCTAGTTGTACTTCCTGAGGGTTCTAGTTTTCACAATAAGCATAAAAATTATTTGCACTCTTCTTAGAACCGTTTTCGTAGATTATAAAATGAGTTCAGTTTTCGGCTCCTGTTTTAAAAGTTGGGTCTTGGTCCAGTTCCTAAATTTCTCCCGGTTCCGGGGAATTCGTTTTTATTGCATCATAATTCAAACCTATTTTATTTGTGTAAACGGTCCTTTCCCAAAACAGATAATCTTCTTACTTTGGAAAAATTATTCTAACCGCACCATCAAAAGTCTCAATTTTGATAACCCAGTTTATCGCAAAACTACCGAAGACCAAATTAGTCTACCTCGCGCTTTCGAAAGCTCAGAATCTAAGAAGAGTAATTCAAGCCTAAATGGGGGCTATAGCACTGTCGGTGAAGAAAGTCGTAAACACAACTTTTACGCCCTTCCGGCCCAACCCCTCGAGGAAGAAGAAGCCTTTTTTGACGATTTCGATTCCACGAAATCCCCCCACGAATACCTTAATAATTTTAATGGGGGGAGGAAGGCTAACGAATACGTTTAAGGTTATGTTCGGCTGAGGTTTCAATTTTTGATAAACGGGATAGTTACATTTATGCTTTAAAAAAATGTAAGATATTGTTTTTAAATCACCCATACCAAAAAAGAAATTAAACTTGCAAGCAGTATCTATTTATAAAAATAAATTAATAAATTGGAGGACCCCTATTTATTTATTATCTAAAATATTTCTTAGGAAAAAAAATTATTCATTGAATCAAAAAAATTATATAATTGACTTTTCACACACTTCTTTGTCCTTCGTTAGTTTGTAATTTATTTTTATAGTATTTATTTAAATATTAGTTAGGGTCCCCTTCACCTATATTAGTTAGGGTCAATCAAAAGCATATGTTTATGAGTTAAAGTCACCCATGTTTCTGACAAAGGACAGGCACCATGCAACTCAAAAAAAACTACAAATATATTAATGCGTAAAAGATTCGATATTGGAATCGATATTCGCAAAATTTATATATAAATTCTTCCCTTCCTTTCTAGTTCAAAAAAAACAATTATGTGAAATTTTTTTTAAAAAAAAATCTCCAATTTGATTTTAAATTTTAATCATTGATAAATGTATCTAAATTTTTTTTTTATGATTTAAATTAGAATCTGAATGTAGCTTTTAATATAGGCATTATCAAAATATATATACTCAATCATGCTAATTTTCATTACATTTTTTTTTGTTGAATCGTATTAATTCGAGAATATTTGCGTATTTTATATACATAAAAATTTATGAAAATTTAATTTATAATTTTATATATTATACATTTTTTTTGTTTACTTTACAATTTTATGTTGTGTAATAAAATTCATTTTATAACATTTATTAGATATCCTCTTAAATTACTTGTTATAATTACGAAATTTTAAAGATATATATATTATAATCACATTTTAAAATAATTTCCACATGAAACATAAAACTTAATTTTTTTCATACCAAAATATACAATATTGCTTATGGAAAAATATTTAAAAATATCCTTTTAAACCGCGAACATTTAAATTTATTTTCATTTCCTCCGAACTTATATAATATTATAAATATAATCATGAATTTGAATTTTGTTTATTTTTTTTTATATATTTATATTATATATAATATATAAAATAAAATTTAATATATTTTATTTACAATATAAATTTATATATTTATAATAAAATGTATATAAATAATAATATTTTTTTTCTCATTATAATTAAAATAAAACTATAATAAACAAATTGATGATATTATTTAAAATTGAATATACGAATACAATCGTCGATTATCGGGGGTAAAAAACTTGTGTTTTGGTAGATGACGGTAAATACTTTTATTTAACAAATCGGTAAATATGATTTATTGCTAAGTTTCGGCTTCGACTGAACTTTGTTGGGCGGCTTTGGCGATTTCGAAAGAAATGGTGCCTTTTAAGTTATTCAAAAAATTATTGGCTTGAGTATTTGACATATTTTCTAAAGATTGTCCATTCACACTGAGAATACGATCACCTTTCTATTATTTATTTTAAATGATAAAAAAAAAGAATAAAAAAAATTATGTTTCTAAGTTGAAAGAAATGACTCGTGCTAAACGTAACCTGGTAAGAAATTAATTTAGCGCCCCATAAACTGTAAAATAATTTTAATTTGGTTTCAAATAAGTGACCAGTGATGTAATTTGCATTCATAAGAAAATATTACATGAACATAACCATAGTTTAAGTAAAAATAAAAAGACCATGTCTGTAATCCTGAGTTATGAGGGCGTGGAATCCGATAGCTACACTCCGGTTTTTCGTTTAAAATTTTAAAAGGGTTTATAGTTCCATTCTCTATCCCTGAATAAATTAATATTATTGCGTAAACATATCGTCTCGTTTCGGTTTTTATAAGCTTTGTATTTCAAATATATATTTTTATTACTCCACCCCCCTAAATAATTTAATAATTGTGCAAATATCCTTAGTGGTCGTTAGTGGCGTCACAAAACAATCAAGATTAAATTACAAGCTTTCACATGATATTACCTTAATACCTTGGTATAACGATCTAGCCCCCACAGTCTGGGACTACCTGCTTTGATTTCTCAGCAAAATCAAATAATAAGCACAGCCTAAATAAAAAACTTCGACTTTCAAGGGGAGCAATTTACATGCCCATAGTTATCAACGCCTTGGGAATCTTTGGGGGCAAGGTTTTCTAATTCAATTAAAAGTCTCGGAAATGCATGTGGTTCTATTTTAATTATTTTTTTTTATTTGGCTCGAAATTAATTATCTTAGTTAATTATATTTTCAATTTTTTGGACCTTTTACTGATGTATTAAGTGAGGAGGCTTATATAGCTTTTTCTGGAAAGCGGGTTTAATAATTTACATGTCATGATCATGTTATTTATCAAGTTTATATAATTTGTTTGAGTATGGCTAGCTATAATTATTCGTCTGCGGTAAACGTTTAGTACAAATCGTAAAAGGCTTAAACACTTATCATCTGCCCAGAACAAAATTAAATAATTTATCATTTACTTTTAATTTTCCCTCGCCCAAGCTTCCTGATTCGATTTGACTGACAGTCACGGGTTCATTTACTTCCGTTTGACTAGTGATACCCATTCCAATAAATTTAAATCCCAAATTTTCGTTTTCGTTGCGAGTGATCTGAACAAGCGAAATGTTTCCAATATCTTTTTGAGGGTGAGCAGATTTATCTTGAAGATTTATTAAATAATTATGTTTTATTTATATAAGTGATAAGAAGGCCTAAAAACAGCTGTCTATTTTCAGAAGAACTAAAAATACCTGCCTAAATGTCTAAGTTCAGAAGAACTAAGAATATCTCTAGTCCTAAAGAGTGCATAAACCATAATTTTTTTTTATTAAGATGTAGCTTAACACTTAGTTTTAATGTAAATATAACCATATGGATCAAGTTAAAGCCAATATTATACTAAATATAATTCAATAAAATGTGATTGTATGAATAATATAAAATGGAAAGAGATAATGAAGGGAGCTTACCACCTAAAATAATTATGTAATTAGAATTTTATTTTAAAACTCATACAAGATTCCAGACTTTTTAAAATCGGCAACAATTTTTTCTTTACAATTTTTAAAATTTTAACGTTATAACATTGGATGAAGTCCGAATAATATCAAAATATTTTTTTTGATATTTTATTTAATTTGGGGTCGAATCAATACCCCGGTTTGGGTATTTCTTACGCGGGGTAAACTAAACCCCATCGGTGATGGTATTTTTATTTCCAACCTATTTATAAATTTATGTCTTATTGTTACTTAAGACAAATTTGCCGTGATGTGACATCAAATCTTGCAAGGAATCGGAGCTCAATTTAAGCTTTAGAAATTTTTCGGTGAGAGGTGTTTTGGAAGTTATGAAAGGTTCGCCAACTGCGTGTTTTAATCGTCGAATTTTCAAAACAATCTTTCCAACCAAACCCTAAAAAAAACAACACATTTTTTATACAAGCTATGCTATAAAGATAATTTTTACTCTTAGTATCAAGGCTATATCTTCCTGATTGGAATCTTCGACATTTTCAGAATTAACTTCTAAGATCTGATCGCCAGCTTTCAATCTACCGTCGATTTCTGCCACCGATCCTTTTATCTGCATAAAAAAAACAGGTTTTCATATTAAATTAATATGCAGTGTCTTTTAATCACAGATAGTGTCACTTTTAAGAGGCATTGTCACTTTAGAAAAAAATATATTGTTTGAAGATACTGTTAATAAAAAAACGCGGCAATGCTATGTGACTATTTCACTTATGATAAATGAAATCTTCGTTCACAATATTAAAAAAAAAATTACCACATGAGTTATAATGACCCGAGGACTTGTTGATCTATCTTTAATACTTATTCCTAGCGATTTTCCCGGTTTTTTTATCAGATCAATACTATGAAGCTCGTAGTAATCTTTTTCGAAAGTTTCGATATCGGTATTACGCTGAACTAGCAATGTGACATGAGTCTGAGGTTGATAGATATAATCCTTCGCAATATTTAGCGGAGTTTTCCGCAAATTCTCGCCATTCACCTGAAACGAATAAAGATTTTAGGCTTAGGATTATGAATAAAAAAAAATGGAAGTAAACCTCTAATATTAGATCGTTCACCATTAATCGATTATCCTTTTCGGCGACTCCTCCTTTATATATTTCGTCGATCATAATTGAACCCTTCAAAAAAAAATAATAATAAAAATGTCGAGTCTTTTCCAAATTTTTAAAAATACAGTGAAGGAAATCAAAGGTCCAGTAATAGATAGCTCAACTTGCTGCGATTCAGATCATATTCATAAATCAAATAAAATTCTAGTTATTTTGTCGGCCAAACTAAACTGGAACCAAATCGATTTAGCTGACAAAATAACTATATTCCGATTGGTTTTCTAAACTCGATCTAAACTGCAGCCGATTTGAAGAAATTTTTTTTGATAGAACGATCTGAACCCAGATTCTTGTCATCTACTAATGCAAACAAACTCACAAGTAATGTGTCTTTCCCACCAGTTAATCCTATACCCAAAGGTTGGCCGTGTTTTTCAATATGAATTAAAGTTGGTTGATCGGGTATGATGGAACAAGTTAATAGATCGAATCTATCTTCTATTCGTTTAGGCGGCGAAGATATCAACTTTTCTGCCATGTAAAACAATATAATTTTAAAGGGAAGCGAAAAGTAAAATAAGACATTGCAAACTGTGAGAAGAGTATAATAAAAAGTAGGAAAAAGTTGATAAGATATTATTAACACTATAATGGAAGAGAGTAAGTCTTTTAGAAACGAAGGATGTTAAAATATGTAGGTGGTATACGAATTTCCGGGAAAGCCCGGGGTATAATGGCATAGGAAAAAATATGTTAATATAACTAATTGATTATTAAACTTGGACTTGAGGAAATGTTAGATTTGGCGTATGAGTATTCATTCATTTGAGCAGCCTAATCAATTCGTGGCAAAAAAAAACACAATTAAAACATGCTATTTTTAAACATGAATTTACATTCTTACTTTCAAATTTTTTTTCAATTCATCATCTTCAAGACCAGTCTCTTGAAATTGACAAATACTCTTTATTAAAAAAAACATATAAATAAATAAAAGTCTCCTTTGAGTCCTGATAGTATGAAAGGAAAAGAATAATTGTATATTAAATTAAAAGAATTAATAATATATATTCTTAAATATTTCTAAATTTAAATTATCTCAATTTTTTTAAAAATAAATTTATAACAAAATCGTAAGAATAATTAGAAAAAAATCCATTATAATATTGCTCAAAAAAAACAACATTATTTTAAGTTTAATTTCATGTGGAGAGAAAACTGAAGAACCAAGTATAATCCTTTTAGGGAAAAGATCATTAAGGTTTATTTAGATGTTTTTATGAAATTCTATGCCATTTATTGTATATATATTAAACTTACATTAAGTAAATGCTCATTAGCTTTTGTTGGTTTTATAGCCATTTCTTCAAGTCCATTAGCGCGCCTAATAAATCAATATTTTATTTTTTAAAAAAATAAAATAATATAATGTAGTATAATAAAAATATCGATTAACAATTTTAACACAAACTTTGTTTGTGCAGGTGATGATTTGTCAAAAAAAAACATTTTGCGAAGGTCTTCATAAAAATAAACGAAACAATAAAACGACAGTTTGATATTCCGGTATAAAAAAAAACAATCTTATATACATGCCAAAATAATTTAATAATTAACGGAATAAAGATTTAGGCTATTACAATAATTCGGGAAATGAATACACTTATTTTAATTCCCTTATTTTGGTCATGTGAATTGCTCGCTTTTCCATCTAAAGTTTCTTCTATAAAATTATTTTTGGATTTAAAGCTATTTCATTATTCTATTTTAACGAAGTGAGGGAAGATATTACATAATATCTAATGAATCAAATAAATGCGATATTAATTTTTTCCGACTTATCGGTCTTTTTAAACCTGTTATTGGGAATCTTTAAAGAAGATGTATATGTGCGGCCCAGAGCAGATGTTTGGCCTTTCTCTCCTACTCCTATTTTTTTAGTATCCTTAGTGTTGTTAATTGGTTGGTTGTGTAAACCCCAGACCCGGGGTTTGCTAAAAATAGACTAACAGCTCTTACGAACCCCGAGCACAGACCCGAAGTTTTCTTCTCTCTTTTATTCCTTTTCTAAAGAAAAAAATGTCAACCCAGATCACTTTGAACTGGATTTATTAAACCATCCTTCAATACCGCTAAGCCAGATCATTAGAATGAAAAAACATATTGGACTTCAAACTTCTAAAAGGTTTCAATTTAAAAGATTTAAGATAAATTTCTCTAGGATGATTCATTCGATACACAATATTTACTTTGGCACATTTAAAAAAATAAATATTTATAATATAATATTCTTATATAAACAAATAATTATATTTCCGAATAAAAAGGAGAATATTTTTACCTTAAAATGATGAGCTTTATTTCATTTGATTCCAAATTTTTGATAATCGTGGAGGCGTTGAGATGACTTCTACCCAACAAAACGTGATTATTCGCCTGTTTTTTTGAATAAAACAACAATGTTTGAATAAAATAACAATGTTTTAATTGAATAAAACGAGGATTGGAATTATCTGGAATCTTCGAAAAGTAAAAAATAATAATCTATCAATTTTATTTATATAAAAACAGTTTTTTTTTTCTTTAAAAGGTAAAACAAAAAAAAAAGAAGAGATTTTAATGATGTAATAAAAAATAAAAAATTTTCAATTTTGTTTTTTTTTGTAATAAAAAAAGGCAAAGAATTATTGATTTTTGCTGTGTATATTTTTTATAAGAATAGGAAGAAGAAATAAAAAAAAATGTTTAAGATAAAATAAAATTAGGTCAGTGAATATTAATAAGTCATCAAATGGTTAATAAATCGAGACTGAGGTGCATTTAACTCTGCCCAGGGAAGGGATCTAATCTAAAGGATATAGAACTTCATATGTGTCAGACTCATTGAGAGGCTTCTATTTAAAAACCTCTTTCCCACAACTCTCTCTAACCCCCCTCGGCTTCATGAATGACAATATCAGTTAATTCAAACAGGCGAATGCCGACCGAAGAAAAAATCTGCTAGGCATTGAGGCCCCTGTAAATTTATTTCACCCTTTTCCTCAAGGGAAAATAAATTTTTAACGGTAGGGGGGGGAGGAGGAAGGTTAAACACATGAATATTTAAATTAGATAAGATTTCAAGAACCGAGAATTGTTAACAAAAAAAAAATAAATATTTCTTTGGAAAATTTTTTATAATCATCCATGATTAAGCGATTTTAAAATTAATAGAGATCTACAAATCACGACCAGGGCCGCACCCGGGAAGGCCAGGTCTATATTTAAAAAAAAATTCAATTGGGGCTGGGTTGGGCCTAATTTTTTAAAAAATTTCCGGCCCGGCCAGGTGGGGCGTAAATTTTTAAATATGATATAATTTTATACTTGCAAGAAACAAGGCGCTACTTTTTTTTTTTTCAAACAATCAAAAAAATAAATAAAATTTTCTATATTTAAGGGCCGAGCGGGCAAATAATTTTAATAGCGAGTAGGGATTTTCGGGGCAAATAAAATAGAATTCGTTCGGGATCGCGCCGAGTCAGACAAATTTTTTAAAAAAATTTCGGGCCGGGTCGGGTTTGGGAAATTAGGCCAGATGCAGATCACTAATCTGTAATACCCGGCACGGTGTGTGAAAAATTTTATTTGGGCCTGGCAAAAAGTAATGATTCCCGATGCGCTTAATAGAGAATAGAAATTTCTTTTCTTTCTTTCTTTCTTTCTTTCTTTCTTTCTTTCTTTCTTTCTTTCTTTCTTTCTTTCTTTCTTTCTTTCTTTCTTTCATTCATTCTTTCTTTCTTTGTTTCTTTATATTGAGAATTTTAATCAAAAGAAGTGATGAAATAAAATATTTTAAATATATGATTGATGCTTTGTAATCTATTTTTCTTTGTCGTAAAAACGATAAAATCCAAGGCGATTAGAAGTTTAAAAGAAAAATATGATACATAGGATACACTCCTGGGACCACTTAAAATCGTATTTAAAAAAAATAATTGATTATTTTGTTTTGCAAAATTTTGTATTAATGGAGATATAAGTATAATAATATCAAAATAATTTTATTTTTGGCAAAGTGGGCGGATTAAAAAATCGATATAACTCTTTTGATTATTAAATTAAAAATACATTAATAAAAATTTACAATATTATTTGTATCTATTGATGCTAAAAATATAAAGATTGTTCTTTCCTTACCTAAATAATTTGGGTAAAGCTCAAGTGACCATTGCCTGTCAGCTGTAGAGTTGCTAAGCACACTTTAAAAAAATATCTATAGAAATTAGATTGCGCAAACTAAAGAGAAGAGCGTGACTAATGAGAAGGGGAGGGGTGAAATTCCCCCATCGCAAATTTGTCTGCTCTCGTAAATATAGTTTTAAGCGAATAAATATTCCCAACCCACCCACCCTCTGCCAAAAAATGTATACAATATATCATTATAAGAAAGAATTTGAAAGAAAAATTAATAACTTTTAAAAATAACGACTATAAATTCAAAATTTTTAGAAAAAAAGCATTTTAATAAAAAAAAAGGCGAAAACCCAAAACTATTTTTATTAAAAATTTAATATATTCGAAGGTCTCCAATAATTGGACTTAAAGATCTCCAACAAAATTTATGGAGAAAAAATTCACCTAATTGTGTTTCCCCTTCCTTTAGCAAAATCCTGGATACGCTGGTCACAGGGCTCACAAACCAAAAAAGAAAGAAAAAAATGTTGTGGAATAAAAAAACAAAAAAAATTATGGTAAAATGTTATAAAAAGTTTGTAATTGATAATAATTTATATGATAGATGGTGTTTATGTTTAAATCTTAAATTCATGACGAAAAAAAATAAAATTTACTTATTGGTTATTTAATTTTACAGTCTTTTGAGCAGATTTTTGGTAATTTTAGTTTTTTTTTCTAATATGAAAAACGAAAATATCCGCCAAAGTGTATGTAATAAAACCAAAATCGATCCAAAATTGTACAAATAAATAGAGACCAAAGGAAAAAACAAAAGGAATTTTTATATAATATATATATGTAAAGTTATACAATTAGATAGATATAGGTTACAATTTGCTTGTAATTGTTGCTTCAATGGATGCTGCATCATAAGAAAAACTGCTAGATAAGCATCCCCAAACATCGGAAGTTATAACGATTTTTGAAACTAAAAATCCGTCTCCAATTTTCACTTCGTAGGAATTAAATCATTCAGAACTTTTCAGAAGGACGCGGCCCCTGGATTTGAAGGCATCAAACCTTTATTTCTTTAAGATTTAACCACTCCTATCCTCAAGTCAAACCTGTTTATTGGACAAAATCACTCAAATTTGCAACAAAGTCATCAATGGTGACGTCCCAGATTTCGCAATTTTTTTTGAGCCAAATCAGGCTTATTGTTGGTGCCGTATATAGGAGATTATGTTCCAAGCTTATAGCTAGCAATATTTTTGCACAAGTTTCTAACATACTTCTTCCTCTTCCGAGCTCAGGCTATGAAGCGGCTGCACATATAACTCGTATTTATGTTCAAAATGCTACAATCGCTCAACACCTTGTTAAAATCGACTTTTAAAATAATTACACTAGCATTCACGGGAAAGTAATCATTTCACTATTCATAAAACATTTCCCAGTTTCTACAAACTATATCCTTTCATCCTATAAGAAACCATCTCATTTGATATTTGGCCATTATGTCTTACCCTCTTCTGAAGGTATGCAACAGGGCAACCCCCCTCCCCCCCCCAGGGGTTCCAAATTATTTGTCTTGGAATCCATGATTTGATAACTAAAATAAAAAATGACTGCTCGCTGCCTCTACATTTATTGTACATTGATGATGGGGTCATCTTTGGCGATTCTGCTGAGGTAGAAAAGGCTGTTAATATTATTAAGGCTTCCACTGACAGTCTTGGGCTTGTTATTAACCAAACCAAAATCGAATACTGCGAAATCAATACAATTCCATTAAACATTTTTGGTTTTAAGCGTATCCCCTTGAAAAATTTATCGCATTTGGGCTCTTCCATCGGTTAGGAGTCAGTAAACTCGTTTTTTAGCAATATGGACGATATTTTTGAAAATTTAATACGCATTCTTCCCTGCTCTCGTCTCACAAGGCCTTTTTTTTAAATTAAGAATTTTTTTAACATCCCTAAAATACTCTCTACGACCCGAGCCCATTATTTTTAGTGAGGGTGCATCTAGTAAAATTCGAAACCAGAATAAAAGTCATTCTTAGTGACTGGTTAAATGTCAAGTTTACAGATATAGCCTGGCATCAAGCCACACTTCCTTCAAAATATGGCGGTTTTGCTATAAGATCCCCACTGCTAAATTCAATAGCCACCTTCAGGCACGTAGATTAATTGAGCAACATCTGTTAGTCCACACCTTTTTTGAATACAGCTAGGATGGAGTGGGCAAAATTCGTCACAACCACAACCCTATTTCAGCAAAACGGAAGGATTGGGATCTACCACTTGTGAAAAACTCCATTTATTACCTTATTTCGAGTTTTCCACCTTTGGGGATCAACATTCGTTGAACTTATCAAGGATCGGGGATATGAATTTTTAGATGTTATTCCATCTAGTAATCTCAAACTTGAATTGGGAAACACGAGCTCAGCTATGCTCTAAGTAACAGGCTCAACATTCCTTTCTCATTACCATATAAAGATGTCATACTGATGATGACAATATGGCGCTGCATCCTTTACATTTCAATCGTAATCCCGGTCGGCAAACCCGACACTCGAGGTAATCAAGTTATATCTCTTGCACTTAGATCAGCTGGTTTTTCTACCTAATTGGAGCCTTCTGCATAAATTCCATGGTCACAAGAAAAGTTTCTAATATGGGGCTTTTCTTGTCTGGACACGAACTCCCCTTCCAATTTCAAGGATGCTCTTGAACAGAGCTCAAAATTTTAAGATCGCCAAATACAGCGCTGATTCTTCTAATTACATATTCTTACCAATCATTTGCTCCACTTTAACAATATATGGTGATTTGGCTATAAAAGTTTTTTAAAAATGTTGGCCGCCAAATTAGGAAAAATTCTGGGGAGCCTCGCGAAGGTTTTTACATAAGGCAGAGGATCGCAATAGCCATTCTTAAGGCTAATTATGTTTGTTTTATCAATTCAATCTCTCCTGATGATTAAGGGGAGGGGGTTTTGAATGATTTTGCATTTATTTATTTTGTATTTTACATTATTTTTTATTTATGTTCAATATTGTCTTTTTTGTTATTATGATTTTTTTCTAATTCTTAATAGTTTACTAACTATATTTATATTACATGGCCTGAAACTTATAGTTATATTGTCATCATTAGATATTTTATTTACAAAAGGTTGCATATATATAATTTGTTATTTAAATCAAATAATGAAGAATTTATGTCATACTAAAATAAATAAAACGTATTGTAATTTTTTTTTTTATAATT